AGTCATACAACAAAATGACCCATACATCAATCAAGTGGCCGATGCAAGTCTCTTTTTTTTTNTTTGTTTCTAATCTATTACACTGTTTCAGAGAATTGTACTTCTGGTTAGATTTATCCAATCGTAGATGCAGAGAAACGTTGTATATATTTATTCTCACTAGTAAATAATATACGGTATGTTGTGTTTGAGTTAAGAAAATTACAAAGACTAATATCGAACGATTACCTAAAAATTACGTCTGGCCGTTTTAGTGAAGACATCAGTAATCGGGCCGGTAATTTTAGAAATTACGTCAGGAAGTTGAACATGTGTCATTGAGAAATCTTGACAATATTTGTAATTGGTACAATTTCGGCTGAATTTAAGACATCCATTTGCACCCATAGTAATCGGGTAAATCCAGTTACTATTTTTTTTTAAGAGAACCAAATTCAGGATTGAAATGTTTTTCTAGATCTAGACGACTCGTTAAAAGTTGTTTTGGTATATAGACATCTTACACATCACAAATACGTGTTAGGGCAAAAGGACAAGTTTTATAAATGGTTCTTATCTTCACTAAAAACACTCTGTTTCTAGCAATCTTGAGCATAGAATTCAATGATCTCGACGACATCCATATCCGAAAATGCAGAGACATCGTTTCGAAGAAGCCACAACAAGTGTTCAAACAAGATCGAGTCGACATGATCAAGCCACACCACGCTACCGGTTCGGTTCAACCGCTTCTTGGTATGATCCCTCACCGAACCTATCAAGACTCTAAATGGCTTCTCTTCGAGTACGTACGGTTCAACCATGAACTCTTTCCTCTCCTTCCCTACCAACACCCTTATGACCGAATCTTCCATGTCCTCGTTCAGATTCCGGTACGCAAGCCGCCGTGAATCGGCTGAGGAGAGACGACGGAGTTTCATTACAGGAGAAATCAAACAACCCATTTGACAGAAGAATCAGAGTTGTCAAGAGATAACTCAAGAAAGAGATTTTATAAACCACACAAAATAAACAAGAAATACAAACACAGTAAAGTTAAAACCATGTGAACACAAAAGAATGGTTTTAGATTGAACGCGCTTTATTTATGAACAAACCTTGCGAGAAGACAGAATTTGCACGGAAAGCTTACGTGGCAAACTATTGGTTGGTTCATATTGCTGCGATTGTTATATGTCAACAGTTCGACGGCCCACCCACCGGCTAATCTTTCTTTCTCCATCCACATGTTTTTAGGAAGAAAATAATTTCACTTTGCATATATGTGATATTTTTTAGCTATTTACCAACAAGAAGATATTTTCTAACTAATCCTTGACATCTACGCAAACTTAACGTTACCATAAAGTATTGATGTTTAACGAAAATGATACTTCATTATACTTTTGTTATTGTATTACTTGGGAATATCGATTTTTCTGAAATCCTATATGATGATATGTTTTAGCTAAAAACGCGAATATTAAAAAATTATTCAACTTCAAATGATTTTTATGTGTGCATACAACATTGCAAGAAATTAAACCCCAAACCG